AAGCAAAGCAATTTACTGTTTTGTTCTTCTTTTTTTTTTGTGGTTGACATCATCAGAATATATTTTCCGTAATCTTCTGTTTGATGGCTGATAATCTTCAAATACAATGTGAAATGGGTCTGATGTCTCCTCTTTTTTCCAGGTGCCTCCACTCCTCCCCAAGTCTGACATCGACCCTGAACACTGTCGGGTTTCTGCTCAGCTTGATGACAACGTGAGTCATGTTGGGTTTGTTTTCCGTCTTTCATTTCCTTGTTTTTTTAAATATATTTAAATGGTCATTCATATGTTTATATGTGTATCTAGGTGGATGATAACATCCCACTGAGGGTAATGCTGCTGCTGATGGATGAAGTATTTGACCTCAAGGAGAAAAACCAGTGGCTGCGCAGGAACATTAAGAACCTGCTGCAGCAGCTCATCAGGGCCACGTATGGAGACACCATCAACAGGTCAGAGACACAAAATACACGGAGCAGACTGACAGAAGTACACAGACCGATGGAAAAAATATATATACGTATATGGCAGACTAGTCAGAAATGTTTTATTAATGTATATAATCTTCTGCACCCACCAAAACATGTCTATAAATGATCCCAGACTCAACCAGACCTGTTAGCAGAACTTTATTTAGTTTTAGAACGATGGTGAACTGGAAGTATTTTCCTCAGGATGATCTTTATGTCCCAGGTGATATCTCATCCAGGTTTTTCACATAACTGATACTGGGATCGCCATCATATTTCCAGTGAGTTGAGCTGTGTTGGTGATGTGAAATGTGATGACTGGGTTGGTTACATATATTAACCAAAATACAGACTTTCAGACGAACACCTCATGGCCTAAGATGCACAAACGCCATTGCAGAACCAGTTCCACCTGAGAAAACAGCATCATGGTGTTAAAGTTCACAGATCACAGGATGTTTGCACACAGCTAAACTGAACACAAGTACACACGTGTTCAGAGCCTCAGACAGTCTCTCTGGTACGCAGAGTAAAGGGCAGTGAAGCGTCACACGGAGCACCACCTGAATCATCTTTCCTTTGTCTCTGTAGGAAAATAGTGGACCATGTGGACTACTTGACCTCACCTGAGCAGGTTGCAGACTACGTCAAGAAGTTCAGGTAACCCCCTCATGTTTTTATTTGAAATAACTGATTGGTCAGAAGAATTATGAATGACCCTTAGTGGCTGTGTCTCCGTTTAGGGATTCCTACTGGCCCAATGGTATGCTGGCTGAGACGCCACCCAGCAGGGACAAGAGCATCCGCATGAGGACACGAATAGCTGCCAAGACCAGTCTGCTGGGCATCATGCCGGGTAAAAACACACACTTTATCTAGTTATCCCCCAGCCCCATTTGGGACTCTCATCTACTGAAACATACTGTTGGAAAACATGCAATATAATTGATGAAGAAAGACCAGAGTAGTAACTTTACTCTGTCACTCTCTCTCTCTCTCTCTCTCTCTCTCTCTCACACACACACACACACGAGCGCTGTGCTCTTTTTCCATCTATATTAAGCCTATTGTGTCTTTTCAAGCAACTGTCTTTCGTCTGTCCCTTTCACCTTTGATTTTGTAAAAGATGTTTGCTCACTTCAATTTTCCTTTCGTGTCATGTCTCTGTTATCTAACTAAACAGTTCCATGCCTCATTCTTACCTAATGCCACATTAAAGGGGCAATTAAGTGACATAAACACTCCTCAGGTCAGCCCAAGTACCGCACTGCTGTGAGCTCAACACAGAAAAGGATCCTTCTTTTCATTTCCCCCTTCCTCCTTGAGAGTTTGTGCTCGCTCCTGACCGCTGTATTTCTCTCCCGACCTCAGACGAGCTGAAGCACATCATCGGAGCGGACACCACGAGAAAAGGCATACTCCGCGTCTTCGACATGTTTCAGTACCAACCCATGAACCGCCGGCTGGTCTACGTTTTCCTGGAGGGCTTCTTGGAGACGATGTTCCCCCAGTACAAATTCCCCGAGCTCTTCGTCAAGCTGCACTCCCGCTCGCCACGCATCCACAGATACGGCCAGAAACTCAAATCCTCGTCCCTCAAGAGGTGACAGGAGAGGACAGAGGCAACGGGACATGGGCCGACTAGACACACACAGACTTGAGAGCTGAGAGTGGGGGGGGGCTTGATGTGAACGTTGAGGTATGTGTGTGTGATTTCTGCCCTTCCACTTCCCTCACACACTATTTTCAGTGAGAACACTCCAATTATCCAGCTGATTATTTCTGTCAAGACAGAATTGAAGGATGAACAACACACACACTGCCCTCCTCTCACTCTGTGACACACACACACACACAGTAATGCGCAACACAAATCCTGTAATTTGCACCAAGACTGGACATGGCAGTCTTTTCTTTTAGTTTAGATATTTTCCTCCTCCTTTTTGGACTTTTTAGTTGTGTTTAGCTTTATCTTGGGCCAGTCAATGCTGCTTTCTCCTGGTCCAGAGAGCAGACCACAGATACTGTATTGTTTTTAAACTGCAGGAGTAGATAGCATAGACCCACACCTTGCCTTACCTTCCCGCTTCTGTCTTTTGGCCGGTTCACTCTTACCATCTCAGTGACCCGGCCCACTCAGCTGTAGTCCAACTTACCCTCATGCTGTAGACATCTTATCTGCAAAAGCTGCACACTTCTTCTTTTTTTGTTCATAGCAACCAAATATGTCAATAGCACTGGGTTAAAGGCGCTGTTTTTAAAATGTGACTGAACAAATATGGGTCGAAAGAGATGATTTAGATTTGTATTGTCTGCATCTTTTCCAGCCTCAATGCCTCTCTTGAGACGGTTTCTTTTTTTTGTCTTTCCAAAGTGTGACTCTGATGTACCACCCATGATCCTCAAATAGATCCACCCCCCCCGCCCCTTTAATGCTACTGTCATAACCTGTGATGACCAAAGCTCATGCTGTTCCATATGTGTGCGCGCGCACTGGTTTGGTGTTGGGATACTCTGAACGTTGTTCTTCATATCCTTAATCATATGAGGAAAGAGAATGCAAAGTGGACCTGGAACAACCCTAAAAGGCGAGGCTGTGAGGGGACACAGCTGTGGGAGGCTCGGCTCTGGCGGTCCAAGCGCACTATCAAAGAATGTACTCTCTGGTCTAGCGTATTTGGCTCATGTAGAATTGTGTGTGAATGGTCGTGTGTGAGCGTGTGTTTAGCACAAAGATGCAGTCTTCTTCAGTCAGAAACTGCCAGTGTGAGCTAGTGAACCAGCCTTAAAACTATATACAGTATATACTGACCAAGAGGCGCACTAGAGGTAGCTCCCCTTCACTCGACTGAACGTTACAAGGAAATCAAAATGGCGATATGGAGATATATCCACTTTTATTCAGAGAAAATGTCTTTAATTTTGTGCAATATTTGTTTTTTCTTTAATGCATGTGCATTTTGAATCATTGTATACTTAAAAAAAAAAAAGTAATTCATCTTGTTTTAATAGTAGAAAACATGAAAGAAGCTTCCCAAGAAATGTCTTCTCATCCCAACAACTTAACATTCCGTTGTTGTAAAAGTACAATGTTTATTTTACAGACTTGTTTTATAAGTCTGAGGGTTTTGTTTTTTGGTGTTTGGGGGGGTATTTTACACTTATCCCTCGCCCACTCGTACGGAATCTTGTGTCAGTTGGGCAGCGGCAGCGGGGTTTTCTGTGTAGCAGCCTGATGATTAGCTCATTGGGCTAGAACTAGTTCAGAGGCGCCTCAGACAACAGCTTCTTCTTTCTTTTTTTAACTCGTACGTGGCGTTTTATGCATTCAAGCCTGTTCTGTTGAGTGTGAACAGATCTTTGTTATCAACTGACAGCTGGAGGGCCCCACGTCCTGTAATGAGCACTTACGGTAGCAACTGTGGGAGGGGGCCGTGGGCTGGACGGAGCCCCATTCTGCTGCAGTCGCTGGATGGAGCGCCCCTCGTCTGCTTCGGTTGATTTGCTTGCACTGAGCAGCCCCGGTGGACTCCGATTGGCTGAGTGAGGACGTGAACTGGAGCCTCGCTTACTGGGAGGTGAATATTTTTGTTCCCACGGTGGAGGATGTCACTTCTAACTTTCTGCACTTCTCTCCATACAGGAAGGCTTGGCTTTTTTTTTTCTTTTTTTTTAACCCCAGTATTTATGAATCTATGATTATGAAAAATTGTGCATATCTGTGTACAGTATGTGTTAATAGTGTGCCTAAATGTACTGTCGACTCTATTTTCATATTTTTCTTTAACCTAAAAAAAAAAATTAATCTGAATGTCATGATAATTTATGCGACTGAAAATGACTTTAGGGTGTTTTCTTGCATCATGCTTATCAAACTCTTCCTTGTGAGCTATTGTGCTCAATCAGTATAACACTAATAAAAGATAACAAACTATCGCACCCTCAGGGCTCTGCTGTTTTCAGTACCTTTGTGTGATGCATTTGTGATTCGTATAGATTTGCAGGTTCCGTGTCGGTGCTGAGCTTAATGAAACACTTCTGATGTGGCTGAAGTTTACGTAGCAGCTAAAAAGAAGGCAATAATTAGACCACTAACTAGTATACGATGATCTGCTCGCTGTCTAATTTAGATGTTTGCTTTTTATCTTGTAAGAGCAGGTCTCTTTTCTACTATTCACGGATATATTTTTGTTGAGCAAAACGGGAGTCTGTTGACACCGAGCAGAAACAGAGAAATTATTCATTAAATACCTCTGGACGACTCGAAGCAAATGTCTTAACTTGCATTATACATTCCCCTTAATGTTGTAGTTGTAGCTTTGTTTAGCACGCTTAAAATTCCAATAACTCGATAATTAAATTGTGTTTTAAATATTTATTTTCTATTATCAGTCTTGATACTGATTCCAAAAGTTTTTTTTTTTTTTTTACTTGGCATGGATACAACGTTTCTGCATTCATCTAAGAAATAACTATTACAATTTGTTTTTATGCAAAACGTTTCAATGAAGACGGAGATATAAAATTGCCTTTTTGATTAAATATATGATCTTTAATTCAACCAATCGATAGCTTCCAACATTGTAGGATCCTTGGTCAACCCCACACACTGTACACACTTCTTTAACTGGGTGTCATATTGTCCACAAACAACTTAGTAGTCCATGTTAGAGCCAGTATAAAAGTGTATTCATGCTCTCGTGAGAGGCCTTCACGTCTTCCTCTGGGCTTTTCCTACCGGGTCAGCGATGATCACAATTCCCCATGCAGCCAAACCTGAAAGATAAAATACGGTTGTGCATATAAAAGACGACAATCCATGTCATACCTGTAACGTTATTGGAGAACTTACAAGCAGCAAAGGTGATCTGCGCCACTGTCCCCATAGAGGTGGGTCCACCTAGTCGCATCACTCCCCGGGCTGCATGGTACACGTAAGCTCCGGACAGGACCAACCCGCCGCCGGAGATGACCCGGCAGCTCCAGCAGCCCTTAAACAGCTGGCTGGTTTTTGACACGGGGGCGTCTGCTCCTCCCGTTGGAGCCTCTGGTGCTGTTGACATTGTACTACAGGACATGTGCTGATGCTAACAGACTTCCTTTTCAGAAACGCATGGAGACGTCTGAAAACATGGAGGAAAAATTAAACACTCCGTTTCTCGAAATCGCCCTCATACGTTTAAACAATTCAAAGTCACTACCAAATGTATAACTTGGGTCCTGATCATGCTAGTTGTCTGAAGATCATCAGATTTGTAAAGAACTTCCGGGTTATGTTCCTTGTGTTTCCTGTCTTGAATTTTCAAAATAAAAGTTTGTTTATTTCTCCCCGCTAGGTTGCCAGTCAATTTTTCTGTGATCCGTTCAGGGCGGGACAAGTAAATGCGTATTTTGACGCAAACGCATACATGGACCTGCTGCACAAATTATGATCGTGAGGATCAATATGTATACGGGTCATTGACAAATAAGGCTTCCAAAAAGGTAATTTTTTTTTAAATTATCTTCAAAGTGGATTTAATGCATATTTTTGTGTCTGAAACAATGTGGTGAAACAAGTCTAAAGTGTGAACCAACTTTTCATAGTGTTTTAAATAGTTTTTAACAGTATTTTTTTTAACTTCACAGGCTAAAAAATGTCAGATGGCGCAACCACATAAAAAAATATATATATTTTCCTAATATTTATTCAAACTGAAATTTTTGACAAGTATCCTAGAGTGTCTACTGTGTCTAATGCATCGTATTTTGTGGTTGTTTTT